GACCTTTCTCTCTGTCTCTCTCTCTCACTGTCCACTCTGCCTGTCAAAAATAAAAATAAAAATAAAAATAAAAATAAAAAAATTATTTGTTTAAAGATTTATTTATTTTATTTGAAAGTCAGGGTTACAGGAGAGAGAAGGAGAGGCAGAGCGAGAGAGAGGTCTTTCATCCTCTGGTTCACTCCCCAATTGGCCGCAGTGGCCAGAACTGTGCTGATCTGAAGCCAGGAGCCAGGAGCTTCATCCTGGTCTCCCACGTGGGTGCAGGTACCCAAGGACTTGAGGCATCTTCTACTGCTTTCCCAGGCCATAGCAGAGGGCTGGATCGGAAGTGGAGCAACTGGGATTGAACTGGCGCCCATATGGGAATGCTGGCACTGCAGCCGGCAGCTTACCCACCACGCCAGAGTGCTGCCCCTAAAAATTTATTTATTTAAAAATTACTGAAAGGTGCCTCAATGAAAGTTCTTTTCCCCTCCTCCATTCTTCTTCCTTTTTTTTTTTTAAGATTTATTTTATTTGAAAAGCAGAGTGAGAGAAAGAGGGAAAGAGATTTTCTATCTGTTGGTTCACTCCCTAAATGGCCTCAGTGACTAGCGCTGGGCCAGGCTGAAGCCAGGAGCCTGGACCTCCATCCGGGTCTCCCGTGATTGGCAGGGGCCATCCTTGGATGCTTTCCCAGGTGCATCAGCAGGGAGCTGGACGGGAAGTGGAGCAGCTGGTGGGATGGCAGCATAACTCGCTGATTCATAAAGCAGGTTCCCCACCTCAGTCTTCTGTCCAGAGGCAGATACGGTGCCACTTCACTCCTATCATTGCAGACCTGTGGAACACAGAAGCACCCTGTCGGTTAACAAACACCCACGTGTTCTGCACTTGTCAAAGCTTTTCTGGATTTTTTTCTGGCCAATTTTATTGATTCTTCCCCAAAGAGATAACTTCATTTGATGAATTTTTTCTATTGTTTTTCTGCTCCCAATTTCATTAATATCTTTTCTTTATTATTTCCTTTTGTTTGCTTTGGTTTAATTTGATCTTCTAGTTTTTTTTTTTTTAAGATTTATTATTGTTTTTGCAAGTCAGAGGTACAGAGAGAGCGGGACAGAGAGAGAGGGATCTTCCATCAGCTGCTTCAGTTCCCAGATGGCCACAACGGCCAGGGCTGGCCAGGCCAAAGGCAGCAGCCAGGGGCTTCTTCTGGGTCTCCCAGGTGGGTGTCAGGGGCCATCCTCTGCTGCTTTCCCAGGCCATTATCAATGAGATTGATGAGAAGTGGAGCTGCTGGACTCAAACCAGTGCCCATATGGTATGCAGGTGTTGCAGGTGGTGACTTTACCAGCTCCGCTCTAACACCCGCCCTTTCTGGTTTCTTAAGGTGGAAACATAATTGATTTGAGACTTTCTGCTCTTCTAAATTAAACGTTAATTGCTACAACTTTCCCTCTAAGTATTGTGTTAGCTGCATCCCCCAAAATTTAAAAATGTTTTTGTTTTCATTTTATCGAGGAAGAGAGAGAGAGAAAGAGAGAGAGAGAGAGAGAGAGGGAGAGGGAGAGAGAGATTCTTCTTTTGCTGGTTTACTCCACAAATGCCCACAACAGCCAGGCTGAAGCCGGGAACCAGGAAGTCCACCTGGGTTTCCCAGCTGGGTGGTAAAGACGCAGGTGCTGGAGCTATGACCCGCGGTGCGTTAGCTGGGAGGTAGAGCAGGAGCAGAGCTGACTCGAACCCAGGCCCCCTGATGTGGGCTGTGGGAGCCCAAGTGTGGCTGGACTGTTGCTCTCCGATGCTGCCTGGCCACCTCATTTTTGGAGAGAGGTCACAAAGCCAGGTTACTATGTGTTGAAATTGTTCAGCCGTTAAAAACTAACAAAACCAAAGACAGAGAGGAAGAAGAGGAAAACAGCGCGGACAGTCACTGCACAGCGCTCATTTGAGGACCACTGTGTTAACCAAGGCACAGGTTCGTCGTGGGGCTGCTGGGTGTGGGAGGGGAGCCTTAGACGTGTTTTTCTTTTTGTACTTAGGGACTGGCAGTCACATCTTTTTTCCCAAAGGCCTCAAGTCTTCTGGGCTGTTGCCAAGTAATTAAGGAATTATTTTTCTTTGTTTCAGGATGAAGATGGAAATAAGAAACTGAGCACTGGAGATGTTACTCCAAATTCTGCCTGCTCCTTCCCGCAAGATAAGTTATACAGGAATGGGCAGAGCGCATAAAGTCCCCGTGAAAAGTTGGCTCTCATCTAAAATTACACTGCTGTTTCTGTTAGAGTGGGCACTTGCTGTCAGTGTACGGAAACAGAAGAAAGTCGGCCTGGAAGTGATAGGCGGAGCCCTGGGGTCCTAACGCGCACAGCCACATCATCTTTTCGTTTGTTTTTTTAAGCTTTATTTATTTGAAGGAGAGAGTCTGCCATCGCAGGTGCCTGACCGCTCCCCACGGCGCCGGCCCCTATCTTGCCTTTCAGTGCACCTAGCAAGTTAATGATTTTATTCGCGCCTTTTATCCGCACTGGAACGTAAGCTCCATGAGGGCACGGGCGTTTGTCCGTTCCGTTCTTAGCTCTCGGGGCAGCGCCTCGCACATGGCGGAGGAAGGAGGCCCTGAGGGCGGGAGCGAAGGGAACGACACCTGCGAGACGAGAGGACGGACTGAGAGAAGGAAGAAGGAAGTGCGGGAGGCCAGAAGGCACGCGCTCCGCCTTCCCGCTCGGGGCCCGGCAGAACTACAACTCCCAGCAGGCCGCTGGCCCAGGGCGGGCGGCGGCCACCTCGCCGCGACCAGGCCCCGCCTGCCGGCTCCCGGTGTGCCTTGCGGGCGCCGGCCCCGCCGCAGCGCCCGCCGGGACTTGTGGTTTGGGCCGCGGGTGGGGGTGGGGCCGGGCCTGGAGGCGGGCGGGGGCCGGGGGCGGGCGCCGGCCCCTCCCCCGTCACTTCCTGCCGGGCTGCGGGCGCCGGAGCGGCTCCTCAGCGTTTGCGCCGGCCGCCGTCGCTTCTTCTCTCGGCTTCCCCGCTTCTTGGACCCCCCGGCCCGGCGGCGGCGCCCGCCTCCTCCGCAGCCACTCCGCCTCTTCCCTCCCGCCGTCCCTTCCTCCTCTCCCTCTTCCTTCCTCCTTCCCCTCGTCGCCGCCACCACTGCCGCCGCCGCCGCCGCCGCCGCCCAGGACCGCCGGCCGAGGGTCTGATCTAGAGGCGGGACACACAGAGGCGGCCGGCCGAGCGGCGACAGAGAGAAAGCTCTTCCTGCTGCCTCGGGTCGGGAGTCGACGGGCGCCAACGGCGCGTGGGGCCTAGGCCTCGGCGGGCCGCGCGCCGGCCTCCTCCCCCCGGCCCGGGCCTGCGTCCCGCCCGCGGGGCCTGCCCGGGGTGGGGGAGAGGCGGGTCCTCCGGCGCCCCCAGCCCCGCCGCCGCTTTCTCGCCGGGGCCGGGAACAGGTGCCTGGCGCCCTGCGCTGGGCGGGCGCGCGGGGACAGCGAAGTTCCTGCCGGGCTGGTGGGGGCTGGTGGTGTCCCCTCTCCAGCCCTCGGGGTCCGGAGCGTCCGCGTCGTGCGGCGGGCACGGCCCAGGTGTCCGGCCCCGGCGCGGCCCCTTCAACTCTTTGTGTGGGCTGGGGAGAGGGGCGCCGAGACCGTCCTGCCGCTTTCTGGCTGCGGAGGTTCGGGGAAATGGGGCGTGTGAAGCGCTTATCGGAGCGCCAGACCCACAGCGTGTCCCAATAAACCGCCTGCATGATTGATTGGCGTGATAGGAAGGTGTAATTTAGTGGGGCGAGTGGACAGAAGTTGACCTACCTAGCTGCCTCGCTGCCCGTGCGCGAGTGGGGGAGGCAGCGGTGTTCGGCGTGGCCCCCGTCGGCGCCGGGGGCATTGTTTTGGGCTCAGGGCTGGAAGGGGGCGAGCCCGGGCCGGACCCCCTGCGCGCCAGCCGCGGGTCCGCCTTCCCCGTGGTCGTCCCGCCTCTAGGAAAGTTGCTGGCAGCCGCTGCCCCTGCGCCGGGCGACGTGCTTGTCCTCGGGCCGGGGCCGGGGCCGGGGGCGGTGGACGGACGGCGCTGGGCGAGCGTGCCTGTCCTCGGGCCGGGGCCGGGGGCGGTGGACGGACGGCGCTGGGCGAGCGTGCCTGTCCTCGGGCCGGGGCCGGGGGCGGTGGACGGACGGCGCTGGGCGAGCGTGCCTGTCCTCGGGGCCGGGGCCGCGGGCGGTGGACAGACGGCGCTGGGCGAGCGTGCCTGTCCTCGGGGCCGAGGGCGGTGGACGGACGGCGCTGGGCGAGCGTGCCTGTCCTCGGGGTCGGGGCCGTGCCCCTGCCTTGCCGCGTCGGCGTGGGTGCAGGCTCTCGGCTGTTCGCGCGCAGATGCGCGTCCCAGCCGCCTGCCCCTGTTCTCTGGCCGTGCGGAGGGCTTTGGGGTCGCGCTGCCGTGCTGCGCGTGTTTTTGTTTAGAAGCGGGCGGACGGAGTCGAAGTACGGTTTTGCAGGAAGGGACCTCTGCTTACGTTGCTACTTGTTGAAGCAGAAACTAAAAATACAGCCGGGGTGTGGAGGCAGCGGTTTGGCCGTCTGGGGACGGGCGCACCGAGTTCTGCTAATGCTGGGCTGCGTGGTGCGGCTGTGCCGGTCCTTGGGGAGCTGCGGCCGCCGAGGTGCTCAGCTTCGAGTTAGGACAGAGAAAACGGAGTGTGCGCGCCGCAGACGTCCGCCTAGACCTCGGCTTGTCTTAGTCCGTTTCCTTAGAGAAATGAAAATGTTTTGATTTACATCTCTCAATGCAAAGTGGCTTCCTTGTTAGGTTTTTCTAGAATTTTCTGACACAGTGTCACATTGCTTCTGATTTAAAATTTGACGTTTTAAAAACAGCTAAACAGACAACTCTGCAAACAGTAAAAAGCATGTTTTCTGCTACCTTGTGGTAAGTTGTGCTAGGGAAGTTTTAATATTGCAGTGGGTAACATAAAGCTGTTTTTAAACTTTTCACTGTGGAAAATACATGAAAATTGACTAGACGACTTAGGTATTGTGTTTGTCGCTCAACTTCGGCAGTTTTTTTTAAAAAAATAGCTTCCATCCGCTGGTTCACTCCGCAGGTGCCGCACGCACAGCTGGGCCTGGGCCAGGCTGCCACGTGGGTGTCGGGGACTGCGTGCTCCATCATGTGCTGCCTCCCTGGCCCTCAGCCGAGGGGCAGGCAACCCCGGCTCCAGTGTGAGAGCCCCAGCTCTGACAATGATTAACTTACAGTTAAGAGCAGTCTTGTACCTCCTCCCCCAAACTGTATTGTTTTGAAGCAAATCTTAAACATCGTATCACAGTGTTAGAGATTTTGACTTTTACCAGAATGCTCCTAAAATGTGCTTTTAAAAGAATCAGTTGTCATTTTGTTTGCTTGGCTTCTCATCTCTGAACAGATTACTTGGTTACTGTGCAGTGGGGAAAAGACTAGCAGCTGAGCTAGTTTTGATCAGTGCTTTCCCGCTCTCAAAGTCAAATCCCAAATGTGGCCTTGCTTCTCTGTGTGCAAAAGTAACTCTTGAGCCATGAAAGACTAATTGAAGAGCCATCAGAAAGACAGATTTCCTATCCCTTTGTTGGTGGAGACCTACCTGCTAGGCCCCTTTAAATAGGCAGGAGCTTTGTGTCAAAGTTAAACCACAGTAATGCACCATGAAGCTTCCCAAAGTTTCTTTAGCTGGTTGTGTAAATAAATGCCGTCTCAGTAAGTATTAAGCGAAGGATGTTTGATTTCAGAATCTTTGTAGAATTGTTTTCCAGAGTCCCCATCTGCTCTATTTACAAACAGCACATTGTTAGTAATTATGAGTGGAATCTTAAGTTTTGTGACTAGTGTGAAATCAAAATAAGTGTTCATATTTTTCTTGTTTAAAAGGAGATCTCTCCTAGAAGTATTATAAATATTTGCTATTGTTACGTAATTTTCAAATTTCTGTCCTGAACAGTTTCTAGTTTGACTTGTAACATTGTTATTTCATTCTTGTGGGTTTTCATTGAAGCTTGATCAGGGGTACAGTGGAAACGTTATATATTATATTTTAGTTACTACAGCCTGGGAGATTTGGAAATTAAAATTAATCTGAGGAAAAATCTGTTGAGTATCTAGGGGAGGACACAACATTTATTTTTTAAACAGTGCTTAGTGCTTCCTATCAGGCTTACCAGTAAAACTTTTAAGTGTTTAGAACTGTTACCATAAATAGCTGCTTCAGGATAAATTGCTGTCTTTTAAGATTCAGCCAGAAAACCCACTTATACACAGATTATTTTAAGTTTAGAAATGAACGTGACTCACAGAACTTTTCCTCCCAACTCTGAAGTCCAAACGGTTGATATTATTCTGAGGGTAATCATTAAACAGCGGCCTAGACTGTGCTGCCCATCCCGGCTCTTCCCCAGGTACCGTGCAGGCTTTAGCGGGGAGGCGCAGTGAGTCTCTGTGTAGGGCAGCTTCTTGGACACTGTGTTTGCTGAATGGAGTCAAAATGAAATTCACCAGCCTAAAGACGAGACTTCGTGTGACGTCCTAAGTCAGGTTTGGAGACCGTGTTTTTCCGAGTCTGTGAACGAGATCGTCTTATTTGAACTTACACTTGTGACACAGACTGCTCAGTCTGGGAAATGTAAGTTCCTCCCCCTAGAGGAGCGCTTTCGGGACTGCTTGCTTTTTCTCAGAAAGGGATTTTCTGAGCCATCAAACATGTTTAGAGAATTTTATGACAGATTTGTTTTACTCTAGACCCCAAACAGGTTGTTTTAAATTACCTTCTGGTGGAGATCTCTGTGGTTGAAATGCTCCTGGGGTAATTTTCTGTATGAGCATTTCTTTAAATAAACCTTCCCCCAAATCAAAGTCATAGCGTTTATGCTATCCCAAAAAATATAAATTGCAAGTTAAAGATTGAACTGTGAGAAGACATGTTAGTTGCTATGGTTACTTTCCCTTAACATTTCGAGTATACAACAAAGTTTTAGGAAATTTTAGTGTGTACTTCTATAAATACCACTTACTTTAATATTCACATTTTGCTATATTTGTTTTATCCTATCTGTCCCATTTGTCCATCACTTTTTTTAAATTCATTAATCCATTTTATTTTTTGATACATTTCACAGTAAATTGCAACATCAGCATATGAAATGCTTCAACATGCATATTTATTATAGTTAATTAAAATTGTGGAAGGCCTGTTAGGTATTCTTAGATCTTCAGGAACCAAGAATTTTGTTGATTTTTATTTCCAATTTTGCTTTGGCTCCAATGCTCTTTGCTTTTAAAAAGACAAATTGTTAAATGAACTTTGCATCAAGGTACTCATCGAAAAATCAGGTATTACGAAACTTGAAAAATGTGGACCAAATCCTTTGTTCCCACCTACTAAGGCAGTAATAGGATTATAAATATATGGGTATGTTGATCTTATTAAATACCACCTGATGAATAGCTTGGCTATCTGGTTGATAACTTAATGCTCTGAACTAAAAAAAAACCTTACTGCAAAATTTAAAAAAAATGGTAAAATGGGAAGTACTCCAAATAGATTATCTTTTAAATATTTATTTTCCCAAAGAATGCTGAATAAAGTTGATGTAAAAATGATTTGATACTAGGTAAGTTGAAGTAGAAACAGAATCTCTGTAGACTGTTAATTATATTTTCTGGGATTATATATGGTTATTTATTTGTTAAAAGCCTGTATTTAGGGGTCTTCCTCAAAGTACATTTACTGGAAAAAAGAGAAAATTTATCCAAGAAAGTATTGTCTTTCGATTAAAAATTGGTCTTCTAAATATTAAATCTGTTGCCCATCTGGCTTCTGTGTACTTGGAATCTAATTTGGGAAAGAAGTGTGGTGACTTTGTGGGTTTGTAACAGTAATGGAAATAAAATTGGCCGTTGTATCATCATATGATGGACGTTTTTTGTCCTGTTTCCCAGAGTATAGAGGCTTGAAAAAAAATATTTAAGTGGCCTGGGGCCTTTTCCCCCTAAATGAATATAATTGCTGAGGACGAAACCCTCATTAGATTGCCTCTAAATTTGATATAGTGTTGGACTGGGTGCCCAGTGAGTGAGTTGATTTTAGTCAGCATGTCCTCTGTTCCCATTTAAAATTTTTTACAAGTTGTATGTAGCTATAAGATGATATTTATAGATGTTTATGTGACCAGGGGCAGGATAAGTGAGTTTGCTGCATAATAATACTTGCTACTATTTATTGAGCTCTTAGCATGTGCCAGGTTAGAATTACAGGGTGAGAGTTATTTGATGCAGAAAAGGAACCTAAAAGGTCAGATTGAATTTGTTTAATATAGAAGCTGCAGTTCGTTGAGCTCTTTCATGATAGCAAGGTTCAAAGTAGACCCTTTATGTCTGACAGATACTCAGCAGCACCTGTGGAGAGTTAAGGGTCCTAACAGTGGAGGATACCTAGGCCCTGGGAGGCTCGGTAACTGGGCAGGGCCCCAAGCCAGGAAGTGGTAATACCAGAGCTGGCTCCATGGTCAGTGTCCTTTGCGCTGAACCACACTTTGACTCTGATTATGGTTAGGTGCTTTTTGTTTAGGATAATTGGTTCTGCTTATCTACAGGACCCCACCACCACCACCACCACCACTTGCCAACCCACTGGCACGGGGATGGATTTTGTCTGCAATTTTAGATCAGTTTGAAAGTCTTGTAAGGAATGACAGTCTTTTGGATGGGCTCTTGAAATAGTTAGAAGATTTACAGTTTACTTTTGTTTGTTGAGTCAGAGTGAGCCAAAACTTTTAAGCTGATTCATAGGTTGGGAGGGGAGGTTTAGAGGTAAATGTAGAAGGTGGATATTTTATTAACTTTTGTGTAAGGGATGTTATCTCTTAAATTATTAGTAGAATATCGAGTTTGTTAAAAATGATTTAGGTATAGTCATGGTTGCTGCAAAGAAATTCGTTTCTTTTGCATTATGACACTCTGATTTACTGGGGCTTAGTTAACTTAGCTTCCGGTTAACTTTAAATAAGGGGTAAGAGGATGTTGCTGTCTCTACTTTCCAGTCATTTCTGACATCCCGTTCCTGGCCAGTGGTGTTGGTAGTATTTGATGTAACTTTCTGTTTGGTATTGAACTGTCTCGAGCATTTTTTTTTTCTTTGAATTGATGATCTGAATCAGAATTCTCCACCCTGACAGCTGTGCTCTCTTATGGGTAGTGCTAAAAGGCTGGATCAATGGGGTTAAAACTGCTTTTGGACTTGTGTTGCTAGTGAGATGGTGTTACGAGATTCCATTCTCTGTTCAGCCTCCGTGGAGAGGACCATGTAGTCTGTAGTGACATAAGTGTGTCTCATTAATCACGAAAAGGAAATGTGTGTTCTGGGGGTGAAGTGAGCAGACAATTCTGCTTCAGTTGTTACTGTATTGGCTCTCCTTAGGATTAGCTTTGTGATGTAACTAGGTCTTTTTCTTTTTTTAAGATTTATTTGAAAGCCAGAGTTACACAGAGAGGCAGAGGAAGAGAGGTCTTCCATCTGCTGGTTTGCTCTCCAGTTAGCTGCAGTGGCCGGAGCTGAGTCGATCTGGAGCCAGGAGTTTCTTCAGGGTCTCCCACGTGGGTGCAGGGGCCCAAGAACTTGGGCCATCTTCCACTGCTTTCCCAGGCCATAGCGGAGAGCTGGATTGGAAGTGGAGCAGCCGGGACTCAAACCAGCACGTATAGGGGATGCCGGCAGTGTAAGCAGCAGCCTTACCTGCCACAGTGCCACTCCCCCACACCTCCCCCCCCCACGATCTTATCTGATTGTTTCACATATTTGCTGTTTGAAATCCTTACTTTTTATAGATTAAAATTAACTGAGACATGAATTTTCTACTTTTGCAGATTCCACCCTGAAACAAGTAGGGCCATTGTCTGCTGATGCGTTGTAGTGTTATGCAGAATGCCAGGCACGTTTCCTCTGTTATAGTATTTTATGTGTCAGGAGTCTGTGTTCTTGGAAGCTGTGCTCTTTTGTTGCACAATTGAACCAACCTGTTCATTACAGTCCCATGTAGTTAGGTAAGGAAGTTTCCTTTTGTTTTGTAGCAGAGTAAACTGCTGCAGTCAGTAATGTTTAGTGATTGAGTATTTCTAGCTAGTAATTTCCCTGTTGGTTGAGAATTTATTAAAGTACTAAACAACCTTTTTGACATGAGAGCCTTTCTGAACTTTGCTCCATTTTTGAAAACATTTTTTAAAAATATTTGAGAGGTAGAGTTAGAGAGACGGGGAGAGAGAGAGGTCTTCCTTCCATTGGTTCACTCCCCAAATGGCCGCAATGTCCGGAGCTGCACCAATCCAGAGCCAGGTGCCTCTTCCTGGTCTCCCATGTGGGTGCAGGGGCCCAAGGACTTGGGCCGTCTTGCACTGCTTTCCCAGGCCACAGCAGAGAGCTGGATTGGAAGAGGAGCAGCCAGGACTAGAACTGGCGCCTATATGGGATGCCAGCGCCTCAGGTGGAGGATTAACCTACTGTACCACAGCACTGGCCCCAACATTTTTTTTATTTTTTTAAAGATGTATTTATTTGAAAGGCAGAGCTACTGCATACAGAGTGGGTGAAATAGAGATCTTCCATACCCTGGTCATTCTCCAGATGCTTTCAATGGCTGGGCCTGGGCCAGGCCAAAGCCAGGACCCACAGATCTCCCATGTGGGTGCAGGGGCTCAGGCACCCTCCCAGGTACACCAGCAGGGAGCTGGATAGGAAGTGGAACAGACAGGACACGAACTGGCACCCATATGGGATGCCGGCGTCCCAGGCAGCATCTCAACCAGCTGTGCCACAGCACTGGTCCTCTCCTTTTTTTCCTTTCTTATAGTGTATTTTGAATGTGATTTATTAATAACATCAGTTAAGGTATATCCTGATAATGTTTAGCAGCTAACTTTGGTGTAGCAGATATAGTTTACAAGCATTTCACCTACATTTCTAATTTATCCAATAATCATGCGACTGCTGTTTTATTAATTTGAAATTAGTAGGGGCCGGCGCTGTAGTGCAGTGGGTTAAAGCTCTGGCCTGCAGCGCCAGCATCCCATATGGGCGCCGGTTCGAGTCCCAGCTGCCCCTCTTCGATCTAGCTCTCTGCTATGGCTTGGGAAAGCAGTAGAAGATGGCCCAAGACCTTGGGCCCTTGCACCCTCGTGCAAGACCTGGAAGAAGCTCCTGGCTTCGAATCGGCGCAGCTCCAACTGTTGCGGCCATCTAGGGAGTGAACCATCGGGTGGAAGACCTCTCTTTCTGCCTCTCCTTTCTCTGTGTAACTCTGACTTTCAAATAAACAAACAAATCTTTAAAAAAAAAAAAAAAGATTGATTTTAAGGGCAGAGTGACAGAGAAGGGGAGAGACAGATCTTCCATTTGCTGATTCACTCCCCAGTAAGCGCAATAGCCAGGACCAGGCCAGGCTGAATCCAGGAGCCAGGAGCTCCATTCTGGTCTCCCACATGGGTTGCAGGGATCCAAGTACTGGGACCACCTTCTGCTGCCTTCCCAGGTGCATTAGCAGGGAGCTAGATTGGAAGCAGAGCAGCTGGAACTTGAACCTGCGCTCTTGATATGGGATGTCTGGGATGGGTTATCAGTGTTGTACAAAATGA